CCAACAGGGGTTTCTGTAAGTCCTTTTTGGAGGTGTCCGTGTCACCACCCATTTTTAGTACCAAAGTGAAGAGAAATTTGAAGCGCATTTTGCATATCCTGGGCTCTCTGAAAGGACACTACTAGCTACACCTTCTAGGCTCGTTACATCTCATTCTTGTTTCCTGTGACAGATGGGTTATTCCTGTTACAAATTTTAAGCCTCAACAAGTTTGTTGGACTCCCTTCATAACTTCTGTCAGGATACATTGCTCCCATCACTGGTACGTTGAGCAGGATTGTGATAAAGACTGGAGATGCTAGGATACACATTACAGTATTAAAAATACTGACTGTTGTGGAAAAAAAATGTGTTTTGCAAACCCTATTTAAAAATAAATCCTTTCAAGGACAACAGCAAAAACATCTGCAAGGCTTCTCTAACATAAGAGACTTTTCTTTGAAGTCTCTAAAGTAATCTTAAAAAAAATTTTACATATTATCAAATGTTTTCAATTTAAGTATTACAGAGCAGTGGGACTTACAGCTAGTGTTACAACACCGGTATAGCTGTCCTCAGTACAGGGGAGACAGTCAGTGATGGAACAGCTTGTCCCATGTCACATGAGACCTTTCCGCTCTCCCACTTTATTTTTTTTTTTTAAACTACAAACCCATCCTCCTCCTCTCATCTCAGAGCAAGAACAGCAGCTTCAGGCTGTTGGAGACACAAGTCCGGGGAACAAGGTTAAGTGCACCAAGACCTTGAATGAATCACTACTTGTTCTAAAAAAGAAACTGCATCACCACTAAACCACACTGGGACTTTCAGCTTGTCTTCCTTGTGCACAGGATGAGATGCCCGTTCTGTCACTTTGTGAACAGCTGCAGATTGTTCCTCATTTGCGTTAGTAACTCCTTCATCCCCCTCACATGTGAGGTTTAGGACAGGCAACGGACACTTGGCAAGTCTGCTGAGGCCTCATGCGAGTGAATTCCAGGGCCCACACGATGCACAAACTTTGTCTCTTACATTGGCCCTCCCACTTGGTTGTTCTCCCCTTGCGTATACACTGCCTGAGTCTTTTACAGCTGCTGGCATCTTGAGTCATGCGACGTGATGCTGTCAGTGCCAGGCACAGAGGAGCTGAACAGTATCTGCCAGCACTGCAGCTTGCAAACAACTGTAAGGAGACAAACTTCGCTTAAATATGAAGAAAAAAATCCCGCTAGAGAAGCCCGAGTGCTCAAGTGATCCCACTCCCAGGGCTTGTAATGAACAAATGCAGAGTTTGTGAGCTGGGGGCTGCAGACCTGGAATTCACTCTCCAAGGCTCACAAGCACTAAAAGCTGGGGGCTGGCTCTGCTGACAGTAAAAGGATCACAAGCAAAGTAAGAAATCGCTGTGTTCTGTCTGTAGTGATTTTGCACAACCAGGATTGCATGTGAACATTTTACATTCTAGTCTGATCCCGCTGCATGCGTTCGGGTGCGAAACACAGTCGCCCATTCGTGTATACAAGGAGCCCTTGTGATGCTCCAAAGCAAAAGTCAGGGTTCCTGCATGTGCCCCAGCAAAACAAGGCGACTCACGGGTCCAGATTCTGCTCTTGCATGTGACGTTCATTACTAAAGGTGACATCACATAATAGTTAAGGTCAGGCCTGAAAAACTATCGCCGGTAGACATCTTATCCTCACTTACCTACCTCATCATTTCTTTCAAACAAGTTTAATAGTGAGAATATTTTACACTATTACACTGCATTGTAGAGTCTCCAATGCACTGAGCTGTTAGGCCAGGCAGAGGAAAAAAAAAACAGTTTATTTGACAGTGCCTCGGTTTATTACCAATGCCACTTCCACTCCGGCACGATACTCAGAGGTGGCTTCTTTCTTCCTGACCTCATGATACAGAGATGTACAAAATCATTCCCTTTCTTTCCCATCTCACCTTCCTTCTCCCGTACGTTGGGTTTACATCTTTTCTTACCTTTTGTTCTTTCCAGGGTGAAGCAGCTTGTCAGCAGATTAATGGAGAAATTTATCTGGAGTGTTCAGCAAAATGTCGTGAAAACATAGAAAGTGTTTTTAAAGAAGCGACAACCATTGCACTGAATGCCATGAAAAAAGCCAAGCGCCAGAAGAAAGAGCGAGTGTGCTCAGTGTTATGATCTGGACTGCAAGAGAGCATCGACTGCACGACAGCAAAGCGATTCAGCTTTTGGAAACTGTATAACTTCAAAGACCTTTTTTTCATTATATATTTGTATTCCTAGAACAATTTTTATTTTAAAATTTTAATTATTTTGAGTATTTTTGCACTTTTGTTGCACTGCTCTCAAAAAATGTTCAAAGTTCTTTATCAAGGTTAACGTGTGCTGCATGCCTTTGTCCATCTGGCTTTTGCTCCTAACTGCAAACAACCACCAGTCAGGTCTTGGACTCACTATTTAAATTGCAACGAACAGTGACTGCTACTCTATGATTTAATTAGTGGGGTTTTTCCTCTGCAAAATAATTGTGGCATGTTATAGCTACAATTTACTGTCTTTTTCAAGGAGAAAAGCCACATCTTTTAGAAGTGTTGTTAGAGGAGCTTATCAGGCACCTTTGAAGAAACCAAAATTAAGTTTTGTCTTCATGTTTTCAAATTAATTTGGTGGCAGTGGTATGAGTTAGCCCCAAGCTGCCCCCAGAGTGCGCAGACAGAGCATCCACTCCTGCCCCTGCACCACGGGGCCGGCTTTGCAGAGCTGCTCCGTAGAGCTCTCCTTGCAAGGCCTGCTGCTGGAGTGGAAAGTGGTATTTATCGACAGAAATCCAGCGGTTCCTCCAATTCCGAAATGGAATATTGTGGAAAATATTTAATTTGCAGCACTCAAAGTTAGAAGTGCTCCAAGCAGCTACTACGTGTAATGTGAAGTCAGTTTGACAATAAACTTACATAGCGTATTTAATACATGAGAGGTGCAAGTATTGGTGCACGCTAGGGGAAATCCCTAACTCATTTCAATTAACCGATGAAATAATCTCCACTGCTATAAATTAACATTCTCCCTTCTGTGCTGAAGGTGCCAGGTGCCTGTTTAAAGATGAGGGATGCTCCCACTGCACAGCAGAGTACACGTGCCTCAGATCTGCCAGTTCTTTTGCACATCCCATGCAGTGGGATCACAGATTTTGGGAGCAGTCACTAGTTTGCAGCCATCGTATAAACCAAACCTGGGAGGGAGAAGAGGTTTCTGCAGTACAGGTGTTGCCAAAAGCTCTCTGTGCAAGGCAACTACAGCCCATCCTAAAGGAGAACATGTAGGAGAAAAACAAATGTTTGTACACATCTTTGACTATAGAAAAATCTTGCAGAATTGTGCAGCCCTTGTCAGTAAAAGACACAGAAGCACCTCTCACCCCACCCAGTATGAAACTGAAACATCAACGTGCAGGAAGTTACTGCGTTTACCCTGAGCTCCGTGGTGGGAACCTTTCTTGCTTTTTTAATCCGAGTTTCTCATGCTGCAGAACTCAAGTTACTCACCACGTGTAGAGCTCCCCACCCCGGTGAACCACATCCACTGCTCAGACCCAGCGGGTTCCAGCATCGCTCTCAAAATAAAACAATTTACATTTCACAGAGTGTTCAAAGGATTAAAAAAAAAAAAAAAAAAAAAAAAGGTGCGCAGAAGTCAAAAGTAAATGTAGCAAGATACAGCCCAGCTAGTGTGAAAGCTGTTGAAAATATGCAAATTGCTATTTATTGTTCATGCCCACAGGAGTGACACTGTAACGGAAATTTCGCTAGCCTTGCAGCAACAGGACTGATGAAACCGTTTCACGTCTGTAGTGCATGTGCATTTCTTCATGAGCACGCTTACTGGGAGAAAGGCATAATTTTACGATCACGCTCTGCCAGAGCATATGCCCAATTTGGGCTTTGTGCTCGCTCAAAGGAAGCCTTCACCGTTGGGAGAGACGCTGCCCAGAGCAGCTCAGTACTGCAGCTGGCGCAGGAGGTAAAGGTGTGACAGCACCCAACTCAAGCTTATTGGGATGAGTAAGTTCAAGCAGCACAAGGAGTTAAGCAGGCTGGCAGCATTTGTGCTCTGCCCCCCTCCTGAAGGTGCGTTTACATTCTCTTAACACTTGGTGCAAGCCCAGCATCTAAAGAAAGTATTTATATTTCTGCTGAGCCTGTCCTCCCCTCTCCAGAACAGCACTGGGAGTGGAAAAACACTGGAAACAGAAACCAAAGGGCAACTGCACTTACTGCCAGTGGTCAAGGCCATCTTAAGGAAAAATGGTGTCTCAAAAAACCAACCCCAAGGGGGGGGGGGTATTTGTTAATAAAAAGGGGCTCAAGTAGCTGCATATGGAATTATTTATTTTAGGTCTTTTCCAGGCCTGGCCAGATGACCTGGGCTCCCTAGAAGAGCGCAAGCAGACGTCTCTGCCATGTAACAACAGGTTTTGCTTGCTTGTTTTTAAAAGATTTCTTTCAATAGCTTTTTTTAAAAGTGTATATAGCAGCAGGATGGTGCAAAGATGGGCGTTGTTTTTTCACAGTACACACAGGTTAGTATTGCCACTGAAAATATGCCTGAAACAAATGCCTTTAAAAAACGGACTGGTCATAAACCTTCGCAAATCCAACACCCAGAATTTAAATAATAAAACTGGAAAGAGTTAAATAGCGTTCCAGAACTGGAATTACAGTAGGTCCCACATTCTCTCAATGCTGGCAATCCGCCAGGCAGGTACATGCTGCTCTATATACAGAAAAAACCAAAAGCAAACATGTTTTGTATTAAATACACATAAATAGCAGGACCACGGACTGGAGAGCCATGCTTGCGTTAATACCGAGTCTGTGCTGGCAGAGTCCAGACCCTTCGACAAACACGGGGACGGACAAGTCCTTCCGAGCCCGTCCACGGCGTTGCTGGGGTTTATAGCAGGATCCATCCCAAAACCAGCGCCTGCTCTGGGCGGAGGGACGGCAGCCGGCATGCCGGGGAGGAGGGTTCACAGCTTCTTCATTTTGTCTTTGTTTTTCTGGAGTTTAGTGTGCACCACTTTGAGAGTAGTGAGGAAGTTCCCGAGGAAAAGCAGCAGAAATGTGATAGCCAACACAAAAACCTGAGAGGGGACAAAAAGGAGGAGAAAAGGTGAGAGCTGAGGGTATTGCTCTGGCCACGTTTAAGCGAGCTCTGAAGGGGCTCAGTTGGCAAAGCCCAGGGATCCATTAGCACACGAGGAGAGAAGATCGTAGCCAAATAGAGCTGTGTGCATTAACAAGAAGTGTATTTTTATCATTATAATTTAAGTAGCATTTGCTACTTTTTAATATTAAAACATGGACGACATTCAACATTGCTGGACTCCACCAGTAAAACCAAATCATTCAGTCCAACGTAACAGACTAACATCGTGCTACCAGCACCTGGGGGACTGACACACTTCTGCGGGAAGCTGTGTTCCTCCTGAACAAAGCGAGCACACCAGCTACAGCATGATGTGACCAAAACACAGACCATGAGATGATCTGCAGCGCTGCACACGTGATGTGGTCCAGTCTGCATCCATAGGAGCAACTGTACAGCTGTGGAATGGACAGACACATGTGACGGGTGACAGCAACCAAGAAAAAAGTGGAAGGGTCCCTAAAAGTGGGGCAATAAAGTCAATGGTATATTTTTGAAGTGATTCACTGCCATTGTTCTTTTGTATCAGATTTTTGTACGTGTTACCCATGGATCAGCCACAATGAAGAACCAGCAGCTCAGCAGCCATTGCTATTAAATGTCCGCACGCACAAACAAGATGGTGAGATATTCACCCATATGTGTTTTCTTCCCCCTGCATCCTCTGACTTTCAGTTTGTGTGGTCACCCGTGGGTGCCAGTTTCCCTATAGTAACTGACATTTTCTCTTGTGGAGGCTCTGTGCCACATCAGCCTGAGCTATTTAGATGGAGTCAGGTGCCCAAATATCTTTAAGGATGTCGTTAGACACCCCCTCTCCCCATGGTCTGTGCTTTTTCTGAGCAGAACCGACACCCACCTGCCATTCTTTGCACTCCTTATGCCTCGACAATCCAAAAAGTGTGATTGCATTGTACAGCTGCCAGAACTAAAAAGGGAACAAAAAAAAAAAAAAAGGGAATTTAACTGCTAGCAAAAAAGGCCAATTTAGAAACATTTGCCACAGGTGCATGTGATCTAAAGATCTAAAGCACCTTTTTACAGTGCTGCTGCCGCAGCGGCAGACCCTCCCCAGCCCTGCGCCGCAGAGGGAGGAACGAGATTGCCCAACTTACATGCCCAAAGAACAAGAAGGGAAGGAGAAATGTCAGCCCCCGCCACATCCAGGACTGAAATCCTTCTGGAAAAGGTGAACAGAAGAGGCAGAGCGTGAGCAGAGACAAGCCGGGACCGGAGCTGAGCCCTCCCCACCCAGCCCAGCCCATAAGGGCTGTTCCCGTCCTGCCTCACAATAACCCACTGGTTTAAAATGCAGACTTAGAGGTGGGGGTAATGGGAGGAGGATGAAGATGGGGGTGACCCAAACATCCATCTTCACCCTTGCAAGGGCTGAGGGTGATCAGAGCGCTCTGCTCCCGCCCCACAGGACCTGAGGAGGGGTTAAAGCCTCGGTCCCTGTCCTGCCTTGGGACACAGGCAGCAGGGCAGGGGGGCAGCTCTGCCAAGCTTGCTCTCGGAATGCCGCACACTGTATCTAGAATCAGTGCAAAAACCTCACAAAGCATTGTGGAAAACCTCACCTACTGTAAGGTCCAAGTGGTTTCTCTCCCCCAAAGCACGGAGTCTGTAGAGGCAGCCCCTCTGGTAGTAATACTGTAGGAACTGAACGCAGCCTGGAGGAGGAGAGAGAAAACACCCCTGGCTAGTCAGAAGTGTGATAAACCTAACAAACGATTCTAATAATGTTTAATCCAACAGCATTTCATTATTGTCTATACATTGTATGTTTCCATGCTATGGTTTATATTTCTACAGTTTAATACCCCACTGTTTACCAAGCAGAAGCATTTTCTTCTAAGCAGGTAAGATACAAAACTATTTTATCCCTTGAAAAAGCAAGACAAGATATACTTACTCTGAAATATTGAAAATGCTAAAAATTGACTGCGAAACATTTGATACATGAGTCCATCTGGCCTGAAAGCAAAATACAAAGGAGGTCTATTGGTTTGGTAAAAAGCTGACGACACAGTGCCCTTCCCCGCCAAGCCGCATCCCATCAGCAAACGAAGCAAGCAGCTGGTACCCAGCCCGCTCCACCTCATCGCGAGCCCAGAGAGGAGGGTGCTACGGTCGCACATCACAACTTGGCGTGTAGGAAACGCTCTAATTAATTAATTAATTATGTTTCACCTCTCCAAAAGGTATAAATGCTGCCCAGCCCTGTTTTCTCCAGGCAGGGGGTGGCTGTGCTCCTTGTCCTAAGGGTAGTTCAGGATTGACAGAGGACAGGGGACCTTCTGCTCCCGCCACTGCGTCATCCCCTTACAGATCCAGGAGCAGAAACATTTGTTGTTTTAAAACAATTTTTAATTATTAACTCATCAGTTCATGCCAAAGTCAGGACGGGCTGCAGAGGCGCCGTACGCGGGCGCATCGCTGCGTTGTTTGACCAACACCACCACCCCTTGGAAGGGAACCTGAATTTTTGGCTTTATTCTGTTTGTAACCTGGGCTCAGCAAAGCCACCAAACAGATGCATTTTGTGGTGTCCTCCCTCTAAAGCAAAGCACTGCTTGTTTGCTTGGTTACACAGAGAGGAACCGGGAGGCGTGCAGAGATTTTGCTACCATCAGCATAGCTACAGCTCAGGGTTTGGGGTTTTCTTTTTTTTTTTTTAAAGCAGCAATGTAAACACAAACCTGCGGTGTTCTAGGTGTTCTATTTATCATTGAGCACATCCATAACACCAGACAAATGTCAAACCTGACGCTTTGCTGTGCGCCCATGCAGCCACAGCTTTGCGGACACGCTGGATTTAAGTGCTGAGACGATGCCAAGGCTGTGACACAGGCTTGAGGCACCTCGAGCAGGCGCGAGCAGACTCACCACGTCAACATGACTCCGGACAGGAACGTGGAGACGTAGTGATGAGACACCCACCAGCCTTTGATCCTGAACAGGAAAAATGCAGCAGTTAGATGAGAAACATGGATTTTAGCCTTGTAAGTCTGGCTTTAGAGACAAAAAAAAAAAAAAAAAAAAAAAAGCCCCCCTTGGGGAGGAGCAGGGGGAACAGGGAAGAAAACAGATGGCCCGACTCATGCAGAAGAGGTGTCGTGGAGCCCAGTCCTGACAATATGGCTTAGTCAGGGGCACGAATCCACGGCTGCTGGAGGGATGCTCAGGACCAGGGCACATCTCGCGCACTCCCAGGAGCTCCCCAGCACAGTGAGGAGCAGCAGTCCCCGCAGCATGAGGTACTGCGGTGACTAACGATGTACAAGTTTCAGCCCACACACCCTTTTTTTTTTTCTTTCCATGCCATGCAAATAAGCGACATTTACAAGTCCTCTCTGTGAGGTGGCTGTTCCTTTCAGCCACGAACGCTGCAGAAAGCTCAGAAAATTACCGTAAAGTCAGCAAGGGCTGTAGCAAGGCAAAATCACAAAGTGAAGAGCTGCCCCAGGGACTCTACATCCCCACACTTTGTTTTTTCCTCTTCATCTCCATCCCCACAACAATCCCCCAAGAGCTTACAGACTTTTGGGACCTGCACCTTCTCCTCCCACCCCAAACCTCAGGTGGCCACATCTGCCCTTGGGAGCAACAAGGGAAGGGGATGGAGACAACAGACCCTGCAGAGAGGCATTGGCATCTCGGATTTGCCAGGCTTCAGCGCCAGGCTGAATGCCCTTTTGTTGCTTGTTTTAATTTAAGGACATTTCATGCTTTAAATAGTTTTCGCAGGTTGAACAGTACCTTGATCCATTGCTAATGAGAATGCTTTCCCGTATCGTCAGCGTGCAGTAATACCACACCAACAGAAAGTTAAACACTTCATCTGTCACCCTGTTAAACAGAGAAAAAAAAAAAAGTCCTGTTAATTATAAAGACACATTAAAAAAAAAAAAAACTATCTTCCTCCCTCCCCTTGGTGTGACTGAAAACCTGCCCAAATGAGGCCACAGACACAGAGCCCCAGCCCTGAACATCTCTAATCCATGCGCAGAGCCGCGAGCATCGGCAGCACCGCCAGGTCCAGAGTCCTTTCCTCCGGGCAGTGCCCCACGACACAACACTGCAGATCGTGAGCCGATAAGCAGGTACACGGAGATGACATTAATTCCTTCTGAAGGAGAGAAAGCACCATGGAAGCAGCGGATGATCCAATTTAGAGAGGCATTTCCAGGCTAATTCAATGAGGAGATTCCATGAGATCTATATAAATCCAATCAACTAAAAGAGCAGAAGAGCATTACACTCTGGGGGGAAAAAAAAAAACAACTTTACTTTGCCATTTGCAAACCCCTGAAGCCAAGGGGATTTGGGGCAGCATTGTTCTTTGATATGCTCCTGCATTCACCCCAGACCCAGGGCAACCTCAGTGGAAGTGCCCAGCTCCAACATTTTCCTGATTTTTAAGCAAAACTGAATAGTGGAAGCTTGTTGGTGCTCAGGTACTTTTTCGTGACCTAGAGAGAACATTTCATGTCTGATCATTTCGTGCTCATCCTCTCTCGCTGCCTTTGCAGCCCCAGCGCTGCGGCACGGTGCCGGGGACAACCTGTGAGCAAAACCAACTGCTCGTGCCCAAGCACAGCATGATGCTGGAAAAACAACAGATGAGGAAACACGATGCTGGACTCCTCCGAGCTACAAGAGACTCCAAGAAAAGTTGAAGAAGGAAAAACAAGTAGCTAAGTTACAGGTCCTGGCGGTGTTGGAGAAGAGGTGTAAAAGCTCTCCTGCTCTCCAAAGCCTAAACATGGCCAGAGCCCACCTCACTAACAGAAGAGAACAGTTAGTTCAAACCCAGCACGTTTTTATTCAAAATACTTGATTAAAAAAAAAAAAATGCAGGCTTACCTGTAGTGGAGAATAAACCTGCAGGCAATGGCCCCCAGTAACAAAATTATGGTCAGATAAAGTTTGAACTTCTCATACTCGTCCTTGTAGGCAAACCTGGAAGGGAACAGTCGCTGTTTACAGACACAAGCGGGTGTTTTACCAGAATTTCACTTTTTTCAAACTAGATACAAATCCACATGCCAAGCCCAGGGGCAGAAGTTTTGCTGAAACATTTAAAAAACCAGCAGACAGCAGTGAAAGGCAGCGTTCTGCCTGCAGGGTCCAGCGAGGCTGCACGGCCATTAGGCTGCAAGACAACGGCTTAAGTCCTTAAGAGCTGGCTTCTGGGTTGGCATGATAGGATTAAAAATAATAATAGTAATAATATCTCCATTTTCTGGAGATATTATCTGTATGCTTAGACATTGCAATACCATTTTTCATTGCAAAAAAGCCCCTTACAATTAAGGCAGCAGGCTGGGCTGGGCTTCAAAGCAAGTGATGGATGTAATCCATCGGAGATACACGAAGCGTTAGCTTGGCCCCGCGTCATGGTCTGAGTTGCCCACCCTCAACACTTCATCCTTTACCAGCCCTAAGAGAAAACCATTCCCATTGCTGGGCTTCAGTCCATATCCGCGGCTGGCCCCAGAGAAACCCAAATTCTCATGCGTGGAAACGCTCACTTACTTTGCCTGGTTACTCAGGAGAGTTACATTCACATTTCCCAGCACCAGGTTTAGGTACAGGCTGGAAGACAAAAACCAAGAGCAGACCCAAGTTAAGTCCCAAGTACGACCTAAGAAATCCATCCTAGCAACGCCACTTGGAGCAAAGCATAAATTTTAAGTTGGTTGAAAACACTATTTAAAAAAAAAATAAAAGAGAGAAAATCCTTGTGCTGATTTAGTCTTAAAAAAATCAGCAGAGGGAAACATTGGTTTGCAATGGTGAGCTGCACGATCTCTGGCCAATGCAGAGTTACTTTTATTTTAACAAGAAAACCTGTACTGCCTACACACAGCACAGTCACACACACTTCCAGCTAACGAATTCAGTGTACAACTGACACAGCACCTCAGCAAGAGACTGATGACTAATCCAGTTTTGCATGGATTTCTTCAACATACACATGATCCTTTGGGAACACCACCGCTGCGAACACTTAGAAAAACCAGCCTCCCCAGCGACTCACGTACCCGTTCTTCTTTGGCAAGTAGGCTTCCATGTCGAAGAAGGCATTCTGCCTCTCCTTGATCTGGGCGCTGATCTCCTGAATGAGAGCAAACTCTTCAGGACTCGCTCTGGGCTTGCACCTGCAAGAACACAGAAACAAAATATTCCTGTTCACGTTTTAACCTCCTTTTTATTTAAAGGAAAATAATTACGTCATAAAATCCGCACCGTTACAAAGCTAACTGCGCGAGTTGATGCCGTTGCACACATTGCTCCTGCATGTCTGCAGCACCGTTCGGCTTACCATGACTATTTCACTGCCTGGTTTACACCGTTGTAGGTTATTTCAACCAGCTGGTTTATAGATCAGCTCCTCTCTTTATCTCAGCCCAGGGAGAGGATCCCGTATTTCGTCCCTAGCAGAGCACTCAGGGAATATTGTGGGTTTTTGCAGAATTTCCATTTTGGGAACTTTGTGCACAGTTTCAGGCCCTGCCCTCGCAAGGCTGCAGCTCATCGGGCATGAAGTATTTCAGGATGTAACAGAACACATGGCTGATGATTTACCGACAAACGGCGGTTTCACCAATTAATGTGAAACAGAGCAGAGCACCGCGGCGTTAGCAACCCATGGTGTCACAGGTGCTGTTCTCAGACCTGCACACATGGAATTCAGCCCGTGGCTCCCGGGGATCAGCTGAGCAGCCAAAGACTGTTCCCTGCTGTCAATCCACCCGGGAGCAGGTTTTACCTTTGGGTTCAAGGATTGATGCTGCTCTTCCAGCACAGCTTACGGAGCAAGTCTTTGCTCACCTAGCAAAGCACCCGGACCAAGAGCTGTACGGTTCTGCAGTGTGTGGGACCAACTGCAAGGATGGGAACCCACACAGGCTCCCTCCAAGATCGTTATTTACAGGACTGCATCTCTCATGGGGCTACAAATGTGATAAATGGAGGTGACTCAAGATTAACACAGAGCAAAATTACCACCGTGATACAGACTGCGTATTAAAATGCTAAAAATCCAAACATTTCAGCCCTTTGGGAAGGAGAACCATCCCATCCCCACCTCCTCCACCCTCCGCTCTCCCGTTACCGTTGCAGGCTGTGCTTCAGATCCCTGAGTGTCTTCTTCTGCCGGTGGATGGAGCTGCTGCAGGCGGTCTGGAGGCTGGTGACTTCTTCCAGTTTCTGCCGGTAAACTTTGTGTGTTTCCTGCAGGAGAAGAGCAGACAATTGGTGGGAAGAGCCCTTCTAGGTTACACGTTTCATTTGGTCCTTGCCTCTGAAGGAAGCAAGCAAAACCCTGGTTTTGGGGAGTCAGCAGGCACCTCTGCAAACAAGGAAGGAGGGGGCGATGCCAAACCAGCATGGATCCAACACGGGTTAAAGGGACACTAATGAAATTCCTGCAAAAGGAAGAGCATCTTCTCTATGCTCATCTCATTTCCTCCTTCTAGCGAGCTTTCCCACTCAGGAGCTCCTTGTTCCATGACTATTTGCACGGCTGCTTTATCTACCAGCCCATCAACAACCACAGAGAATTACCACCAGTTTTCCTGGAGCATCAACATGGTGCTAAAACTATCCAGAATAAATCTCCTCCTCGTCAGGACCTGGCTGGTAGCTGTTCATTATTCACCAGAGCAATGCAAAACAAGCTCCGGTATCCCATTTAAAATCCTTAATAACCAAACTAACCATGTCCAGACACCGCAGCTCTCATCGCTTCAGGGTTGATTTGGCTTCACTAAGCAGGGCCAGGACTTAGGGGCTTGCTGGATTGCAGAGCGACTCATTCTGCTTCTCTAGATGTCACGGAACAGAGTCTTTTGAAAGGCTGGTTCAAAGGGTGGAAGGAGCTCTTCGCCAAAAAAGTGCTTGACATTTATTGGAAACATAAACATGTAAGTTGAGAGCTGGTAAATTCTACCACTAGCCAAAACCATCAGGATAACGATTGCAAAATGACCCTGGTAGTTAGAAGAACATAACATTTGCTAGGGGTGAAGTTATTTATTCATCAAGAGAGGTGACCGCTTACAAAGGGGACCCTCCGGCAGCGCAGGGAGCTCACCGCTGCCTTTACACTATCACGTACAACAGCTGGCAGCCCAAACAGCACAAACCCATGGACGTGGCCGGTCAGAAGCGCTTTGCAAACCTGGACATCCCCCAGCCCCATCTCACAGCTGGTCCTTGCTGCCCCGAGGAGATGCTCAGCACTGCTGTGTGGCAGCATCAGCCCCTTCGGAGCCGCTCAGGTCAGAGCTCCCCAAATACCACCAGAGCCCCACATGCCCCACGCCAGCCACCCGGCACGTGGGGACAGGAGCTGTGACCAGAGTCCAACATCCTCCTCTGCAGAAGGAGGACACAGCCCCTGACCCAGAACTCACAACACCATTACAAAATCCAAGACGGGCCAGGAGTGCATTGGAACAGATTGTTTCACCCCATGGGGCCGCAGCTGCTCTCCATACACAAAAAAATAATCTGCCACCATCCATTTTTTTTCCCACTGGCATTGCAGAAGAGACCCTTGTAGTGGGGGTGACCAAAGTACCTTGGAAAAGGCCAGCAAGGAGCTTCTGTGCAGCCTGGGACCAGCATTTCCAGCTGGAGATGAGAGCCAGGCCGGCCAAAAGGGCACTGATGGGGTGACGCAGGCGTGGAGGGGGTCCGGCTGCTGCTGGGAAAACCATGATTCTCAAGAGCAAGAGATGCTCAAGTGTGTCCAAAAAGCCGTGTGCAAGGGCAAGCATGAGCAGACATCCAATGTTGTCATACTAAACAGTTGGGATTTTTACTGTGCACTGGAAGGTTTGAGTTGAACCCAGCTGGGGAGCACAGAGCCCTCCTCCAAAGCCGAAGCCCCACCAGCACCTCACGGAGCCAGAGCAGAGTCACGTCCCCAGGAGAGCACCGTGTTCCCCTCTTCTGCAACGCTGCCTTCACATAGAAACCCCCTGAAGCTCTCAGATAACGGATGTTATCCCAACTTTTCCCCTCTGCAGTCCTGACCGCTGGGCAATTCCACCTTGTGCCACCAGCAGCACACCAAGAAGCAGCACCCACCAAGAAGCACCTCTGCTTTCCTTTTATAGATGGGGAAACTGAGGCAGGGATAAATCACAGACAATCTGCTGCGGTTTAGGTCAGACTTGAGCAGCACACGCTGCGAGGAGACCGGCCGGCACACACAGGATTTACTGCAAACAAGCGATGAACAGAAACCAGCTGGCCATCGCCCCAGCGCCCAGCCCCCGCCTCTCCTTCTGCTACCAGGGCTACCACCCGAACTAGCTTCTCATTAGAGAAGATGAAAAATCTGGAAATCATGCTTTTTCTGCCTAAAAGAGGCTCCCAGCCACCCCGGCCGTGGGTTAAAACTGGCGTAAAGATGAAAGCACGTGCAGAGGCGTCGATGCCACGCGGGGAAGGTGTCTGGATGTAAAGGCGTTTTGCAGAAGCAGCTCTCAGCCCCCACTCCGAGTCCCTTCTGCCCCTCAACGCTCCTCTGCCAGATGGAAACACAGCATCGGAACCCCTCGTACCCACCGCAGGGGATGAAACTGCGGCCAGGCGATGCTCCCAGCGCGGGTGGCGGCTGCATCGCTCCCTGGGCCACTCCACAGGGGTACAAA